TGCAGGAGCGGCTTCCTGCTAAAACACTTGAGGAGGGCGACGGTGTGAGCTGCTAGAAAGTGTTTTTCTCTCGGTGCTGGAAGTGGCTCTCAGCAGGGAGACGTCCCCATCTGCTGTGCCAGATCCCAACCTTATCTTATCCTGTGCTCCTGAGTCCCGAATCCCCATCCTTGCCTCATCTGGAGCTGGAACAGAGTGAGATCTGGACAGGGGGAGATGAGGCAGCCGCTGTGACGTCTCCACAGGGGCTGAGGATGCTCCTTGCCACCTCCAGACCCTCTCTACTGCGTCCAGAGACTGTCTGATCTGGGACTTGTCCCTGGCGGTGACTGTATGAGGGACAGAAAACCGGGACAGGACTGTGCAGTGCTGTCAAGTGCTCTCTAGCCTCTGGCTCTTCTCATTTTAGGGAATTTTTGTGTTTGGTGACCTCGGGGGGGAATTCTCTATGCCCTGGCCTCAAGCAGGGGGTGCCTCTCCCCATCCCCCGCGCGGTGCCCCTCGGAGTCAGCCCCGGTTAGGGCTAAATCCGCTCGCCTGGATTAAGTGACGCAACTGCTTGGGGATTTAAGAGATGACGCGGGGCAAGCCGGAGCGGGCTGAGCTCTGGGGAGGGAGGCTCTGGAGCAGGTCAGAGCCCCTTTTCCAGCACGGGAGCCAAGAGGGAGGAAGCTTCTGGTGCCTCCATGGTATGAGTTTCGGCTCCAGGGCAGTGTGGCAACACCTGGCAGAGCGTGTTTGCGGCGTGGGGCTGCCTGTACCAAAGGCACAGCGCGTCTGAGGAATCAGGCAGGGAAGAAGCTGCCTGGTGCGATGCCAAGGGGTGTTATTTTGGTGCTTCTTGTCGGTAGAGTCTCCCTTCTGTTCCAGACACGTCCTTTGACCTGATCTTTTGCTAAAAAAAGACCCACAACCTCAGTGTCTTCATCTCGTCCCCGCGATGCTCGGGCTTTGCAAATGCCGGCTGTGGAGCTGCAGGATCTGGTTCCTGGCCCAGTCCTAACTGCACGGCACCGGTGACTTGTGTTTGGTTTTTCTGCCGCCCCGTGTGCGTGCTGTGTCTTGAGGGAGCATCCCCTGTGCCTCCGGCCGGGATTCAGCACTGCTCCGTTGCAGCGGGACAGCGTCTTGCTCGGGCCCTCGAGGCTGTGGGAACACAGGGGCCCACACGGCTTTGCCTGTCAGGCCGTTTGGGTGGTGGGTGTTGGGGTGCAGCACCCCCATCCTGGCTCTCCCCGAATCCGTGGGGAATTTCCCTTCGGACAA